GAAAACCCAAATAGGTCTTTTTACATATTTGGAACGGCCCGTTCCATTTTTGAAACGGCCCGTTCCGGGCCAACAAACACAAGCCTTTTTGAAAATTTGGAACGGCCCGTTCCACTTTTGGAAATGCCCGTTCCGCTTTTAGGAACAGGCCGTTCCGCTTTTTGGAACGGCCCGTTCTAGGCCTAAAAAAAATAGAATTTCATATATTAAAAAAATAAAATTTTCATAAATATTTAAATTATTAAAAAATCTAAAATCTTCTAAAAAATTCCTTTAATTAATTAATAACTATAAAAAAATAATTTTTATAAATATAAAATAATAATTAATTTTTGTATAAAATTTGGGATGTTACATGTACCAAATAAGATAATATCATAAATCACAAACTCGTGAATTGGATTGGTCGTTAACACAAAATCCAATGTTCTAATAAGCATAAATTTACAATCAAATATAAAAATAGTTTTATAATAATACAAAGACAAATAGTCCATTAGGCCCCTTATCTTTCACACAAGAAGGATGTGATTTTGCGTTGGACCAAGTCCACTTTGGTCAGATTACACTCATGTCTTTCATATAAAATTTAGGTTAAATACTTTTTTTTTCCCTTACAATGTTTTTTTGTTTCAATTTAGTCCCACTTTAATTTTTAGTCTCAATTTGGTCCCCAATAATTTAAATCGTTCCAATTTGGGACTTCTGTCCAAAGGATTTAGACGGAGTTAATTGGTGGCCACGTGGATGCCACGTAGATGCCACGTAGATGCCACGTAGGTGGATCAAAAAATACTAGAAAACACCTGGAACCAGAACGGCCCGTTCTGGTTATACTATTGGTGTGTAAATTTTGCACCTGGAACGGGCCGTTCCAGGTCCAAAATTAACACACCAACAGTGTAACCAGAACGGGCCGTTCTGGTCAAGAATTTCGTGTACAGAAAAACCAAAATACAAAACATTTCAAACACTAGATTTGGTAATATTGTTAATGAGGATTAATAACTTTAATTGCTAAACATTTGGGCTATACAGTATATCATTAAGGATGATGCAGTATATCACTAAGGACAATGGTAATAAGTTTTATTTCATTGTTAGTCAAGTTGCAGTGAACCACTTACTACCAAATTGATACTATACAGTCAAGGATAAAACGAAACAGTATTTTTCCTTGAAGTCATTGACGATGTACCCCAACAATAACAACCTGTTCTTGAGGAGGTACTCCTAAACCCTGAATTTTATTTTCAATTTTTGAAATATATTGCGGCATTTTAGTCAAGATTTTGAACTGGATAAATTCAAATCAAAGAAATATTTTGGAAGGTCTTATCTTATTTGATTTTTTTTAGTTTTATTCATAAATGAATATTAATTTATTGTATTTTTTATTTATTATATATTTATTAATATAGATATAATAAAAAAATACAATAAAAAACATGGCGTTCTGGAACGGGCCGTTTTGCTTTCAAGTTTTTTTTCGGAATTTTGGCGTCTACGTGCGTATCTACGTGGCATCCACGTAGATGCCACGTGGCCAACAATTAACTCCGTCTAAATCATTTGGACGGAAGTCCCAAATTGCACTAATTTAAGTTATTGGGGACCAAATTGAGACCGAAAATTAAAGTGGGACTAAATTGAAACAAAAAAACATTGTAAGGGACCAAAAGAAATATTTAACCTAAAATTTACATGCTAGTAAATGATTTAGTTCTAAATACTACATGTCATTGCAAGTTCAAAGATAAGTATATCATTCATATATAAATAAATAATTATAGAGCCACTGTCCATGGATTTAATATATGTACATATTTACCGATTCATTGAAAGAGAGTTTATCACTGATTGATATTTTATTTAAGGAAAAATTACATTGAGATTTGTTTAAATAATATATACCTTCTCTCTAATTTTTAAAAATTATTCATCACTTTTATAATAATGTCGTTAGTTAAAGATGTAGAAAGAGGAAAAATAAAAGTCAATTTATATTTTATCAATTGTATATATGTCTATTTTTCATTTTTTAATTATATATAATGTTCTAATCTCTTTATCAAAATTTTATTGTTTTTCAATTTTAAAAATAATAATTTTTTATACTCTTCTTTGAAATTGTTCCTTGAATTGATATATTTTTTAAATCATAACATGCATAATATTTATGATATAATTTGAGAATTAAAATTGAGTAATACATCAAGTCTCATTAAATTGTTAGTAGTTACATTAATATTTTTTTTTCTTAATTGTACACAAATGGTGTTAATTATCACTATAAAATGTTATCTCCTGTGATATACAAAAAAGTGTCATTACACATACAATATATGTAGGTATAATGGTATATATCTATTTGATATATAATTACACACAATTTTAATGTTAGTTTTAAATGAGATTTAACAACATATTTTGTGTGTCATTATAATTTATATCCACAATTTTTAACAATATATCAACATATATTATATTTGTTGTATAGGTAAAAGTAATTTTTAGTAATAATTTTTATATCAATATAGAATGTGTGTCACTATGTAACAATTTTCTTATTATATATCTTATATAAGGAATTGTATGTGTACTTAAATAAATAAATAAGAAAAGTTATTATATTCACTTAAAAACTAGTACTATAAGAAATGTTACATATAGTGACATACAAAAAGTGTCACTATTGGTACAATATATGTAGGTATATGTTTATTTGATATATAGTTACACACAATTTTAGTATTGATTTTGAATGAGATTTAACAACATATTTTGTGTGTCACTATAGCCTATACCCACACTTTTTAATAATATACCAACATATATTGTAGTTATTGTATGGATAAAAATAATTTTTAGTGACATATATAGTCTCACTATAGTATGTGTCTCACTATATTATAATTTTCTTGTAGTGTAGAGAAAAAATGTGGGTCATTTAAAAAGATTTTAGAGGAAGTTAGTGCAAATTTTCCTTAATTAAATGATTCATGTCATTGTTTTGAATATATGTATGGATTTTAAAAGTTTATGCACTTTGTTTTCTTGACTAGATATTACACACCCTTTAAATTTTGCTCTCTCTCTCTCTCTCTCTCTCTCTCTCTCTCTCTCTCTCTCTCTATATATATATATATATATATATATATATATTTCTTGCTCTAATTAAGTCACCATTTAAGAAAGTAATTTTCATATTCATATGATGAATTTCTAGTTTATAGATAGAAGTTATGATTATATCAACACTTGAATTAAAGACATTTTGAAAATACGGAGCAAATGTATCAAAGTAATCTACATTTTTTGTGCAAACTCTCTTGCTACTGATCTAATTTTATATTTTTGATCGATCCATCGGAGTTGTATTTACTTCTTATTTTTAAGATCAATCCACTTGAAGCCAGTTAATCGGTTCTTGTCTTGGAGGTAAATCTACTACTATCCAAGTATTGATTTTCCTATTTGAATCAATTCCATTTTAATAGTTTGTTCCCCATATTATGCATCCAAGAAACCTGTATTGAAGTACATGATGACCTACTTTTTCACACGTAACATAAGCCCTTCAATTAATCTTCGTGAAGGCAAGGTTAGGAGCACATGGGTGATGATCAGTTTTATATATATTATGATCAAGTTTATGATCGTATTGTTTTACACCATATTTGACTGAGAAACAAAAGCCTTTGCCCTCGCAACTTTCATGAGATTAATTCATACTTAAGCTAATTTTATTAGTTTATCGAGATGTTTATTTCATTTTTTATTTATATTTTTCTCTCCTAAATTTATTTTTGTAAAAGCTTACATAAACAAACCTTTAATAACATATCTATATTGACTCCATGCATATGTCTAGAATTGTATAAAACATGTCCTTGTCAACTATAAAAGTTTTGTCAACCAAAAAATTTAACGTTACTCATTGATAAAAGGTTTGATATAGAAGTTTAGATTTTACTCTAAATCTTAAATTCTAAATCCTAAATTTGACATAGAAGTCAAGGAGATTAGTCGGAACAAGAATAAAGTATCAATCCATTTATTGTCTAGGAGAGAATGTTTGTTGAGATCGTCATTAACTATCTATTGATATATTTATAAATTAGTTGAGTTTAACTAAATTAAAATTAAAAAAAGTTACACTCACAAATTTTTACCTTTTCTATATTGGAACATTTATTTTTTATGATTTTAAACTACTATTCAAACATACACACTGTTTTTTAAATAATTGTTTAAATAAGACAATATCTTGAACCACAAAATGATTATAAACTCATGTATTAGATTATAAACAACATAAAATGTGTGACTGCATCACATTTTACTCAATAACTCATGAGTATAATATGCATGTCTTTTAAGATATAACAAAAGTTCCTTCTGACTTTGATTGAGAAAACAAATATAGGAAGATTTATCAAAAATAAAATTGGAAGGCAATCATCTAATAAAAGATTTGATAGCATAAATTTAAATTCAAAATTAATTTTTACAAAACCAAAAGTCCGCAAGACCTATTATCACATTGAATTAGTTGATAGCATTACATCAAATCTAGTTGGCTTGATCTTGTGCACGAATCCACTCCTCTCACTAGTTTGTTTGTAAGCTCAAAACACAATGTTCTTTATACAAGTTTAAAAATATATAGAATCAAATAAAGTGAAACTTTAACTTTTTGAAACACTCAACAACATATTCAAAAAGTTTACTAATTAAGTGAATAATTTTCATGTGATCCTCACATTCTTAAGCTAACAAAACTCACTTGAACTATGTAAAACGAAAGTTAGGTCGGTTAGAATGTTAACGGAAGTTAATAAAAAAATGCTCAGGTCCTAACTCATTTTATTTTAAAACAAAAATTTAAATATAATTTTATACATGTCAAGTAATTTTTTTAATACTAATTAAGTAAAAATCATGCATATCAAATGTTTGTCATGGTCATGATTGTATATGTGTGGATCATGGCAAAGCTAATACATTAAGCAATTCATGAGGTACAATGAGATTATTGTAATACTTGTAATTAATTTTTATTTTTAAATTTAATAAGTCCCCCGTGCATTTCAAGGTTTCTAAAATTTAATAATTGGTACAAGTTAATGAAATTTTTGTCCAAAGTATCTAATTTCTCTTCTCCCAATAAGAAGAATCCATGCGTACAGGATAAAGATCTGATACAGAAGTAGATGAAGCAGTCCATGGCTCTTCATTTGACATAACAAGTTCCTGGTAATACAATCTCATTGCCTCCAACTTCTTCTCATCCAATACCTCACTTGTCTCTGATGCCACTTCCTCAACAACAGTTATTCCTTCTAGCATGCTTACCACTGATGACATTGTTGGCCTAAGTGCCGCAGTCACATTAGTGCATAAGAGAGCCACCTTGATCATCACCAATGCCTCCTCCTTGTTGAAGTTTGAACCTAATCTTCTATCAACTAGATCTATTAGATTACCTTTCTCTTTCAACAGATGTGCCTGGAAAACAACCAACTATTAATGAAGCATTTTTTTTTTCTATAAATTTGATACAAATTTATAATTCAGATGTTATTAATCCATTGGCTCCTAATTTCAATATTTTTTACATTACTAAACAACAAATAAGTTTGAATAACTAGAAGTTGGAAGAGTAACTTCTAAACCAAGATAGAGTTAGACAACATGGCCTTTTCCATACGAAGATGGTTGACAATTAATATACTTTCTTCTAATGATTAAAATTCACATAGGTCTATTGTAATATTGTAAAAAAAAAAAAAAAAAAAAAAAAAAAAAAAAGAGGAGAATACAGTAGCCCAGAACGGGCCGTTCCCAAACTGGAACGGGCCGTTCCACACTACTGAATTGAACTACATATTGTAGTTGAGAACGGGCCGTTCCGGGAAGGAGAACGGGCCGTTCTAGGAAGGAGAACGGGCCGTTCCAGAGGGAGAATGAGTCGTTCCGGAGGGAGCACGGGCTGTTCTAGAGGGAGCACGGGCCGTTCCGGATGAGTCCCGGAACGGGCCGTTCTGATTTCAGAACGGACCGTTCTGGGCGTGGATTTTGTGCGTGATCTGGGAGTTCAGAACGGGCCGTTCCGGTATCGGTACGGGCC